TTTTTGTGTGGAACCGGGGATTGAATTCAGGCCCTTGTGCTTGCCAGGGAAGCGCTTATTCCACTGAGCCATCTTCCCGGCCCCCCAACTTTCAAGTAGGTAGCAGAAAACCCGCATCTGAAATCCATGGTGGTCTGCACCAAAATCTATGCTCTTCCTGTCATGATGTATATAACTCAGCTATCTGTTCACTGAAATGGCTAAACGCTGGGGTCAGGAGTTTCCCAGGAAACAGGGAAGTGCTCCACCTCTCCCACCTCATGCTAAGCTCTTATGTAAACAAGTGACAGCTGGCAGTATCCCACTATCTCTCACCAGCTCAGCCCCAACTTGTTCCCAAGCAACTGTACCTTAGGGTTAAAGGCCAGAGTCTTAGGATCAGTGGGGTCCACCACAGAGGGATAAGGCTCAAAGATGATGCTCTTTCTCGGGGACTCCAGCGCTGCCCTACACATGGCCACCAGCAGGTCCACCACCTGAGAGGAAAGCGAAGGACAGCGACAGAATTTTACAAGTCCCTTGGAACTTGAATTTCTCCTTGGTGTTTCTTCTCAAAGCAAATACTTTCATGGCGTTTTGTTTAGAAAACACAAGCTCATTATAAAGTCAAGATACAGCCAAGGCATGCAAGAAAATATACATCACCTTCCAGAAATTTCTCTTCTCACCCGCATCCCTCCCCTTCCTTCCTTCCTGGAGGCTGAAGCCAGGATTTATGCATGCTAAGCACAGGTAACGCTTGCTGTTCAGTAATTCTACTTTAGGCCCTCGAGCCTGTACCACCAAGTCAGGCTCTGTATTTGGTTTTTGAAACAGGATCCCACTGTGTAATTCAGGCTGTCCTTGAACTATGTTACCCAGACTGGATTTGAACTCAAAGCAATCTTCCTACCTTCCAAGTGCTGAGATTACAGGCATGTGCTACCATGCCAGGCCCTGTATTTCCTTTCTATTAACTATGCGTTAAACTTTCTATCCACTAATGGTAATTGTGGAGTGTTTTCATGTAAGGATATACCATCATTTAACTGGACTCATTATAGTTTCGGATGTACCTACATCTTGGTTTATGGTTTTGACCCAGGGTTTCACTATGCATTTCAGGCTGGCCTTGAATTCACTTTGCAGCCCAGGTTGGACTGAAACCTACATCAAGCCTCCTGCTTCGGCTTTTTTTTTTTTTGGCGGGACCAGGGATTGAACTCAGGTCCTTGCGCTTGCCAGGTAAGTGCTTATTCCACTGAGCCATTTCCCCGGGCCCTGC